CCCCGCAGGCTGCCCGCGCTGCTCCCCTCAGGCGCCGTTTACCGCGCACCCCGCAGGCTGCCCGCGCTGCTCCCCTCAGGCGCCGCTCCCCGTGCGCACGCCCTGTTTGCGGCGCTGCCCAGGGGCCGGCGATCTGCGGCTTCCCGCGCTTTGGCCTGGCCGCGCGGACAGCCGGCACCGCCCAGGTCTCGCCCGCCGCTCTGTGGTGAGACCTGTCGCCTTGGCCGGCCGGTCTCTCCCCGCGCACAGCCCAAGGGTCTGGTGGGCTGAGAAACCCCCTCAGACACCCGGCGGGGGCCTCGAAAGCCTGGCACTCCTCTCAGCTGCTGCTTGCTTGTGCTGCCCTTTGCTTGTGCTGCCAGCGTCGGCTTCACGCGGTTTCAGTGCTATTCTAAGGAGGTAGATCAGGGAGTTTTCTGCGCTGAGGGAGGGATCGTATCTGTAAAACGTAAAGGATTCTAAGCTCACTTTTTATTTTTCGAAGGAAAGAGATTCAAGCATTAGACTAATGCATAGTTTGAGCTCAGAGTAATACTTAGATGAAATCAAGAGTTTCCAACACGTTTTTCTGGTCACTGACTTTTCAGAATCACTTTTTACGTGGTTGCATTGAAATCATTTTCAGAAAGAACATTCCAGTCTTGTTGTAGTTCTTACAATGTGGAAATTTATTTAGAAGGACTGAAGTGTCTGCTTTGGCTACTACAAGTGCCTGTGTTGATACAGTTAACCATAATGGGGCTTCAGTGCTTACCTAACTTTGAAGCTCTGTACAATACCTCTTCAGAGGAGTAACTGAATCTTTCGTGAACTGCAGAATGTGTAAGTCATTATGGACACTTAGAAGGAATTAAATAAAAGGGAACTTACAGAACATCTCATACAGTTGTTCTTTTGAACGTTTTGTTTTAATCAACAGTTTTACTTTTCAGGTTTCATAGTAATATAACCTGTTAGTATCTCTGAATGTATGTTTTTAACTTCCACTAGCATTAATTGGAGTTAAACATTTGCATTAAGTGCATCTCCCTTGAGCTCTCTAATACTGCTTGCAAAATGTAATCAGATGGTAAACCATTGTGAATGTACGATTAGAGTACAGATGGTTTCAACTGTGAATGACAGTCTTAATAATCCTGGTTTTTTTACCGGATGCTTTCTAATATCCTAGTAAAAAAGTGTTGGTAATGTATGTTAAAATTATTGAGTAAACTAGTAAAAGTTAATCTATGTATATTATAGGTTAGCTTATATTCATGATTTCTTAACAAATACAGTTAAACCACCTTTGTTTATTTGGACTGCAGGTCCTCAGCTTGAATGGAGAATCTTGTCACATTCAGTTTTAAGTCTGAGCATCAGGTGCATGTGGTTAAGTATGAGAAATTTGGAAGTTAGACAGGATCTTGTGGGCTGAAAAGATTATGAAGTGCTGATGTAAAATAATCTTTCAGCATTGTACAGTTCCTCAGAACTTGGGTCTCTGCTGCTGACCTCCCTTCCATAAGCTTCTTGTCTCCTTAAAGTAAAAAAAAACAAACAAAATTTTAAACTTGGCAGGGTGAAGTGTCATTAAAGTTGAACCTCTGTCTCTTGTAGTGAGATATAAGCCAGAAGTACATCTTATTACCTGACCTATTTTTGTTTGTTGTCTTTCTTAAGTGCAAGTTACGTAATGATTTTTGTTATTGCTTAAGTCTCCATTTTGTGAACCTCAAAAAAATTTGTATCTGTAGAACCTAGTGTCATCTTCCCCTCGCACAGCATCTCCCAAATTAATTACTGTTTCCCAAAGAAAATTAGGAGGAGGAAACTGAGGTGGCATCTTGCTGGTGAGCAGTTGTTTCCTTCTTAATTCAGAGTGATCTTTTACTTACTCTGTATCATCAGCTGTGTCTATATGAAGACTTGTTTCCATTATTTTTAATTTCCTTCTTCCTGTTGTTTTCATTCCTTATCTGATTGCTGCTTATCTGAGGCTTAAATATCCAAGGCTACGTGTATTCTGTACCTAGCTCTAAGTATATACGCCTTTAAGTGTTTAAGGATGTGTTTAAGTACTGTTTTGAATTGATGCCTGAGTTAATTTTGCCAATGTAATGTTGGGTCTTTGGAGTACTATTACTGTATTAATGAATGCTTCTGGTCCTTTAACCCATTGTTTTGGCTGGGATTTATAGCTTGTGTCCCATAATGCACTTGAATAGGACTTGGGCTGTGAAGATTATACAGAGATGTTAATTTAGACCATAAAGATAATACAGCAGTCTGACAGCTCAGCTGATGCTACTTTTTTATAACACTATGATTAGGTAATTCCTGCGTTAATTCTATAATCATTTCATGTAGACTTCCAGTGGGTCCAGGGAGATGTATGTGAAGTTCAGTTGATGGTGTACAACCCTATGCCTTTTGAGCTCCGAGTAGAAAACATGGTATGTATCTTTCTAAATCTCCCCTTTCTATTATTTTTCTGAAAAAAAATCTCATTTGGACTTTCAAATGTGGTTTTCTATAAAACCAATAGTTTAAAAAATTGTTTAACCCGCTATAACCTCAGTTTAACAGTGCAATACTGTCAATTTTCTGATATTTGTTGGTAATGAGGTATTGAAATGAAATTCTCTGCCACTCAGAGTGTTTAAATGCTTTACTGTTAGTGACCTGTGAATCAATTTTGTACCTTTCTGCATTGACTAGAACTTGTGCTATATAATTTACATATACTGGTTTTCAAGTAATAATTATATCATGAAACCTACTAATTAGTGTATACTTGCTACTGTAATTTAAAAATCTGCATTCTTCCTAGCTTTTCAAATTCCCATTTTGACCACATTTTTAAAAATCTGAGGAATTAAAATAGTTCTGAGAAGCTTTATTTTTAATAGAAGCTTCAGCCTGTGGATCTGCTGTTCCCAATGATATATGTTATTTGAAAACACTGTAAGGTAAAATCATCAGGAGGGAGGAAAAAAAGGCTAAAATACCAGAGAAGCATGTAAGGTTAGAAGGATCAAGCCCAAGCCCTCTACTACTTCAGTCGACTGCTTGTAGTGTATCCTGAAACAAAGTAAATTGGGTTTTTTTCCCCTCTTCATGCCAACAGGATTTTTTTTTTAATTGTTATCCACTTAAAGGTTAAAAGGCCGCTAACTACCAAACCAACTTAATTTCCACTCAGTCCTAATCCAGTGTTGTCCTTTATGTTAAATATTTTTACCTTCAATATTGCTTTAAAAAATAAATCCTATCTGTTAGAGCCCATTGTTCTTTAGACTAAGTAAGGCATATATATATTGCGTATATTTATTTGCTCAGGATTTCTGTATGTTTTTTTATTGATAGGTCTATTGCAGTGGCTAGTCAAACAATTTGACCTAATTTACTGATAATATGCCACATATAATAAAGCGTTTTTCCACGGGAAATGAACATGCCCAAAGATTGTGCTTATAGCATAATAAAATTAATTCTTGGGAGCCAACACGCTTGTTTCTTCAGCAGTATTTTCTCTAACCCTCGCAGAAGTATTCCACATTATTAGGAATGAAAAGAAAAAGTAATTGTAAAACTGCGCATCAGAAAGGACTCTCTATAGGAATTTATTTAAGAACATTTTGTTTTATAGTCTGATTTGTATTGTGTAACTAATGGTGTAATTATATATTTAAAAAACTGACTTTGGGTAATTTCTTAATTTCTTAATGAGGAAATTTCTTATGAGTGCTTACATATACTTAAGGACTCAGAATACAATTATTTGCATAGATGTGCACTCCATCCACTCCCTGAGCAAATTAATTGTAGTAGCGTGAATACTTCTTTTTACTGTTAGTGTTCTATCTTTGAATTAATACTGAATTTCAGTTTCATTGGTAAGCATAAGAGGAAGCAAGCTTGCAAACTAGATACAAATAATTGAACTGATTAATGTAATTCTTTAGTCAGTGCTCCATAAATAGAGTGCTTTGAGAAATTCTGCTGTGCGCTAATGTCGTCTCATTGGTAGAAATTAGTTGATTTTGCTTAATTTGTCTATGGTATCAAGACTGTAGCCAGCAAGTTGAGGAAAGTAATTATTCCCCTCGATTTGGCATTTGAGAGACATTGCCTTTAGAACCAAGGCCAGTTTTGAGCTCCATGTACAATAGCAATATTGACATACTGGTATCAGTCCAGCAGTATTACCAAGATGATTGGCAAGCTGGAGCATATGATGGATGAGGACAGGTTCAAAGAGCTGCATCTGTTCAGTTTGTAGAAGAGAAGAATACTGGGGTAATTCCTATTGCTTTCCTTGATTCCAAAATGGGAAGATGCAGTGGAAATGGAGCGATATTCTTCCCAGAGGTGCGCAGTGTAAGGATGAGAGTCAGTGAACATGTTGCAGTGATGGAAAACTTTCCTAATAAAAAATTCCCTTTTTCCAGTCATGAGGGTTATCATACAGTGGAACTGGTTGCCCAGAGAGAACGTGGGATCTCCATCCTTATTAATCTTCAAAACTTCAGTGTATAGGACAGTGAAAAACCTAAATGACCATCAAAGTTGGCCCTGTTTTGAGCAGTGGGCTGGGCAAGAGGACGTCTAGCATTTCCTTCCAGCCTAAATTGTTCTGATTTTCCAGTCTCATCTGTGAGCTTTCTAGAATGTGGGAATAGCTATTACTTTATCACAAGAATAAGCTCTTTTGTTTTTATTTTAATAATTCAAAGCGTTGTTTAATATTGTAAAATGTTTTGGTTTATTATTAACGTACTCATGCCTGCAGTCCCATGCCCCCTTGTCTGATTTCTCATCACGTATCGCATTCTCTCATATTACTTAGTCTCATAGCATCATTTTCATAGCAAGTGTATTATTTTCTGTCATTTAGTGGCAGTTTCAGCTTGTTTGTCCCACATCTTTTTTCCTTCTGTCTGACTCGGCACCTTACCTTTGCAGTATGAGTACTCGGTTCAAGCTTGTTTCCAATGACTGCCAGTTCTTCTTTGAGTTCTCCATTGCTTGTTTTCCTTTGTTTTTTACCATTTTCATGGCTCACCATTCATTGACATGTAACTGTCCTGAAATCGATAGTCTTACTCCTTTTTTCTAATTTTCCCCTTTCCCTCATCTTACAATTTATGATTTGTTGTTCTGTTAGCTTAGTTGTTTCATGTTAAATGAATGCTGGAAGCATCGATCCAAACTTTTATCACGATACTTTTCCTAACGTGTCTTCCTGTTTGTTACGGCTGAAAGTTGTGATGGTAAATAACTTAGTATTGAGCACAAGTTGTTAAGGAGAACGATTCCCCATTGAACGGCTTCTCTAGCTTTTTTCATTATTTGAAGTATTAATGCTAAGTACATGTAGTTTAATTGAGGTATGCTTAAGTAAAAGAAATTGAATTTTTAGACTTGACATGAGACTGTGGACACAAGACTTTGATCACTGTTACTCAGATGATAAGTCCTGTACTGTCTGAAAGCTGATTTTTTTGTTGTTTTATTTTACTGTTCTCAAAGCTCTTTGCCCATCTTTGTTGTTCTTGCTGTTTATTCTGTCATGCATATTCATGATTTGAGACTCTATTTAGATACCTCTTCTTCATGTGTGTCCCATTTCTGTATTACTTTTCTGTCTTACTCTATTTCATGTTTTTGTTTTGTTCATATAGTTAGAAGGCTGACCCATTGAAAGGTGCAATAGTGCTTGTAAAAAGACAAATGGAAATGTTTCATCATGGAATATGGAAGTGATTAGGTCCAAGAACTGTGTGTTTTAGTCAATAAAGTAAAGCAGGAGAGATCATAGGGTGATCAGAGGAAGTGCTTTAATAAAACTTAGCAGGTACCTTAAATCTAGAGTATGAGAGAGAAAGACAAAAATGAGCCTGACTAGTTTTGACTGCAATGGATTGGGCAGAATATTTTTGCTATCCTGGTAGAGCCAAAATTAACAGGAGATGTTTTGTTCAGATGTAAATAAGTGTATATACTGCTTTTTTCTCCCAGGAATATTGATTTCTCTATAGACTTGTTCAGGTATGTGAATGATGGCGTCTATCTCTTTTGCAGTTACTGAGCCTTTTTCTCTGTCCAGGAAAAAATGACGTTCAGATTTCAGGCCTTCAAAAAAATAAAAAAAAACAATTGGGAAATCTCTGATGGATTTTTTTTGTATCTTGGGACAAAGGTTTCAAGCAGTAAATCGTGGTACAGTCTAGTGAGACCTACTATTAAAATAAAATGCATGTGAAGATGCACTGCAAAGGGTGTTAAGTCCTTTAAGATATTAACTACTTTTTCCTCTTTGTTTCTCAAGTTTCATATTAAAGGGGGGAAAAAAAAACCAACTGAGAAATTTTGAGGCAGTGTTACCTATTGAGTGAAAAACAACTGAGAAATTTTGAGGCAATGTTATTTATTGAGTGAAAGCATTTTTTCTGCACTTACTCTAGAAAATATAGTCATGGTTCTAAGAAGGCTACAATATATACAGAGCAGTGTAAACAGTGTTTAATAAATCAATATTGAGAAACTAAAAAATACTACCCCAAAACATGGGGATAATGTAATTTATAGTATTAAGTCATTATTCAAGAAGAAAGTCTTTGTTCTGTAGTTCTTCTGTTTGGAGCGTGTATTTGTTTGAAGACAATTTAAGTGTGGTATTTTGATTAATGATGCTGTAGGAATGGCTGTTACATTTTGTTTGTAAACTTCAAAACTACGCTATTAGCCAAGAGCTCTATGTTGATGTTTAAAAATACCATCTCAAATTTTGATAAATCTTTATGTATAATCAGTCCCATGACTTAGCTTATGATCAAATTGTTTCCATGAACTGCTCTTGTGAGCAGTTCACATCTTTGTACTGTTTCTGCCATCTTAAGAGAATATTTACTTACTGATACGCTACATTTAATTGATGCTATATTGGGCAAGAATGTACACAAAGAAGGTGTGGGGGGAGAAGGATAAAAATGGTCATCTTTGGTGTTTTCTAGGTCTGCCTAAAATAACCTTATTAGAAATCATAGGGAAAATTTCCTTTCAAATAAATATTTGACAATTTTTGTGTAAAGTATTCGACAACATTGTATAAAGTATGTTCAGTGTGAAAACTAACTTGGAAGGCAATGTTACTTTAAAAAAAGAATGATTACATTTCAGGATTGGTAAATAAAGCCTAAAAAAAGCAGTTACATACTCATGTTATTTTAACAGCATCCCCAAATGCTACCATTTACATACCAGTCGTTTTGTTTCTCTAAAACTACATTGAGGTTTGAAGTGATTGAAAGACATGCTGTGATAATAGCATCCATATATTCACTCTAAGACAATTTAAATTGTTTTATAAGAATGCAAGGAAATAAAAGTTTTTTTGTGTTTGGTTGTTTTTTTTTGTGTGTGTGTGTGTGTGATTCATTATTCCCTGGAAGAGACCTTGTATATGTGTAAACTTTTCCTATAAGGTCAGAAAGAACAATGATTACTAAAGGATTACTAAATATTATTACTTGAAATGAGGTACAAGACTCTAGGGAAAAGAAATCTAACACTTACTTCCCCCCCCCCCCCCCCTTTTTTTTTTTTGTGCCTCTGATACGTTTAGGTAAAGGATATGACAGTACTTCAGACTTGATTTGATTGTCACTGTTAATCTAAAAAATTTTTAGGCGCCAGAGGGCAATGTTGGGCAAATATTGCTGAATTCTGCTATCCAGCAAATAGCGATATGGAAAATGTCTCTCAGACATTCTAGATATGTCATTGTCTTTTAAAACTTACTTGTGTGGGTTAAGTTTTAAAGGTAAGTATCTTGATTTGTTTATGTCTGGAACTCTGAAGCCTAGTTGAGGTTTATATTGGGTTTTTTTCCATTTTGATGAGTTTTTATGCTTTCTTAGTGTCTTTACTTTTAAAAACTTGAAGTTTTACTGAATAGTAAAACTCTCTTAATGAGAGAAATGAATGCTGTATTCTCCTTTGTGTGGTAATACACTTGAGACTCTTTAATTTCTAGTCCAGGCATAGTATGTGCTTAGTGCAGGTGTTTTGGCATTTGCATTGCATTTGTTCTCTAGAAAAGCTCTTAGTTTTCATGGTTTTTGTTGTTAAAGAATAGACTGAGAATGCATTCTTAATGCATTATAAGAAAAATACATTGTGCTGAGGACTTACTTTACTTTAGCAGTTATCTGTGATCAACTTGCTGTGTTTGTGATTAGCATGATCCAAGTGTGTCATTTTGATATAATTTCAGTGGTTAGGGAACAATGTACACTGTACATAACAATTTTTTTTAATTTTTGCTTTACTGTTATTAAATCATTTTAATACTAGCAATTTCTCATAATAGTAACTCTTCCTTCTTGTCCATAAGCATGTGCATATTTTGGGTGATTGTACTCCATATACATTCACATGCCTTTTTGTCTGTTACTGTCTCTATCTTGATTTTTGTCTGGATTTTGTTTGCTGTTCATACTCAGTTTAAATCCTTTGGCGAGGAAGATGCTTTCTCTGACAGCTGGATTGTGATCAATGCTTTTCCTAAGCCTTGACCATTAGCCTTTAAAAATACTACCATTGATTTATTTAATTTTTCTCAGTTCATTTCCCTATATTTTTTTTCCTCCATGGTTGTGATCTTTAGTTTCCTCAGCGTTACTTGGCTCTGATCCATTCCAAGCCTCAATTCCCTGCAACAAGGGAGCTCATAGGTGCCATAGATCAAAACTAGCTGGGTGGTGAGGTTTTGACTGGCAACTTTGGGGTCATACAGCAGCCTGTATATGTGCGCACATGGCTACTTTAGGTGCGCTTCTTGAGGCTATGCTGGTTTATAGTCCCCCTTGAGGTTCTTTTTTCCTTTACAGGACCCTAAAAGGCTTTCAGGGAAATGTCTTCCCATGCACCCCCTCAATCCAGCTTGATAGTGGAGGATGTGTAATTACTGGGATGGGGGACTAATTCATATTAAGTAGAAGCATAAGACTGGTTATACTGCAAGAAGTGAAATGAATGTATAAATGTATGTCCTGACATCCAGCTTGATTAAAAATGTAAGGAGTAAGAACATGGGAGAAAGCTTCATTTACTCATTGCTTCCATCTCTCCCTTGCCCCAAGGAAAACTGGGATAATTAGGACCATGTCTTAATGAGCAGCTTTCCATATTTAAGAAAAGTGACCTGACTATGGTGGTGTCATTTCATAGTCTTTTGTATATGTTTATAGGCATTTGGTATACTGGCTAATTTGGGGAGTTAGCTAGGAATGGAAAAGTAGTGGTGTGTATTAATTGTTGAAATTTAAGTTCAGTGTCGCTGTTAGGAGAAAGTTTGAACTGGAAAGGCTTTCCAGTTTAACCACTGCATTAAGTTACCTAATCCCCTCTTAGAAACTACCACTGAGGGAAATTCCAAAACTCCCTGGATAAACATGCTGGGAATGGTTAATGTGGAGTTGGCTTTGCTTCAGGATAGGGAGACCGGTTAGGTAATATTTAGGGGTCCCTGTCATTTCTGTTTATTTACACTTGCTATAGCTGATACTAAAGAAGACTTTGGGGGTTTGTTTTTTTTTTTTTTTTTTTTGTAATTTATTTTTTAGGACTTTTAAGTCCTTGGATGAAAGTATTTAGTTGAGGTGAATCCAAATATACTTGAGTGTTTGGCCAAGTGATAGTTCAGTCCTTTCAGGACTGAAATAATCTTACAAAGCCTTCTGTACCTGTTTTAAAAGTGAGTTTTGGAGTGTGTATGGCATTCACCTTTTGTTTATGTTCTAAGATTTAGTTCAGCCAAACCACCAGCAGAATGACTGAGATGAAGACTGAGGCTAGTTCAGTATTAAAGTGTGAATATTCACCCCATTTCTGTGGGGTGAATGCCACTGGAAGGATTCACGTTCAGTCACATGCAATCAGTTATCATGCAGTCAGTTATCACATGCAATCTGATGCACTGGGTGATGAGTGCATAGGAAGACGGAATTAGTTTTTACTTACTTTTTTGTGGATTGTTTCTGACAGCTGAAGTCTCCATGTGAAACTGGGGGAAAACTAGAATTCAGTAGAAATGAGGGTTTAACACAGTGTTTTCTTATAACTCAAGTGAAATGATGAAATTGAATTTTGTGCAATATTAAGGATAGAGTTCTCTAACGTACCTTTCCACAAAGCAAGAGTAGCTTTGATTGAATTAGGTGTTGTCTCAACGGTGTCAAGTCTACAAAGAAGTAATTGCTAGAATGAAGGATTTTATGGCTTTTGGGTATATTATAATCTTGATTACTTCAGATCTTCAGTAGAAGAGAAATCAAGAACGTGACAAACTTGTTCAGCTTGCTTGCTTAAGCTTCTGGTGTGTTTAGGACTTTGCTGTTAAAAATCTTAGGTACAAAGCATTTATTTAGTTGTTAAGTAGCATGTATGTAAAAGATAGTTATTTGTTAATTTTCCAGAAGGCACAATGCCTTCTGAGGAGCAAAGACATTCTGATAATGGCTTTTAATTTAGTTCAGTTTTTGACTGCTAGTGGGTTGATTTTGGTTAATATCTAGGAATTGCTTGAAGAAGACTTGCTGGTGGTTAGTCCCAATGCAAATCAGGCCATTAAAGACTTAATGTACAAGACAGGTCAAGTTTCAGTCATTAGCTGGGTTATTCCGGTGGTGCCATTTACGTTTCTTTAAGTAGTTGTTATACGAGTATCAATTTTCCTAATTTCTAATTGAGACTTGGAAACATAAGAGGGCTACTCTGCCTTTTACAGCTGACACGAGCATTAGAGGTGCACCATTCAAAACCCAATTGAATTACAAACTAGGCAGTCATAAATGTTTTCAAAGGGAAGCAATGCTGGTATTCTGGCACTGTGCAGGTAATGTTGCTGCTTCTTGAACTCCTTGTTCAGTCTTCAGTCGATTTGTGGTTTTCTGTGGCTCCAACCATGAGTTTTTCATCTGTCTTTACCTCTTCCATAGAGTTTTGAGTTCCTGTGAAGCGTCCTCATGGAGTTGAGGTTTAATCCAGTTGTACTTACTGCATGAATTGATGGAGATATTTGGATGGCATCTTTATTAAAAAATAAAAATAAAAATCTGTGTATAGAAAAGCAGCTGGTAACTTAGACAATGTGCTTTACAACATTAAATTTCTTACTTGCAACAGTACATTCTGTGTTCAAGCATCTTAAATTCATTAACTGAGCTACTCCCCCCCCCTTTAAAAGTTTATTAAATATTTTTTTTTCTGCTTCATTTCTTATTTTGTCCCATGTTTTAAATTTAGGATGCTAAAAGATTTCTTTGGCACTGAGGGAGTAAATCATACAGTCTAACTGCAGGCATCTAGGCTTGATAGAGGATCAATTTAGCAAAATTAATGCCTTATTCCAATTCATTGAAATGTTTAGGTTGGATAGTAAAGCTAGACTTGCTCCATTATCTGTAAATACTATATTTTTTTTCTCCCCATTGATAAATATTTTCTGGCCAGGAACTTTAATTAAAGCTAAGCAAGAGCTGGTATTGATGTTTGATTTCCACTGTCCAAAATATAAGCAAATGTATAACTAAGGTCAGAGATACAATTAAATGTAGGTACAAAACAACACCATGCAGATTGTATCACTCGTTCTTTTTACTGTGCTTGGGTATAAATTTTTATTAGTTTTTCATACATTGTTCCCATCTCAGATCCTGAAACACGTTTCACTGTTGAATACAAATCTTGCCATAATTCTAGATGCATGCTTCACTCACTGGAACTTAAAACCCAAAATAACTGCTATGAGCAAACTGGAATAAACTGTAAAAGTTTGGGTGATGTAATGCAAGGGATTAAAATACAAGTATATATCATAAAAATTTATGTGTATATCATAAATGGATTTATCTATGTAATATGACTTTTTCAGGGTCTCTTGACAACAGGAGTAGAATTTGAATCTCTTCCTGCAGCTCTTTCTCTACCTGCAGAATCTGGTCTCTATCCGGTAACTCTTGTTGGTGTTCCTCAAACTACTGGACAGATCACTGTCAATGGTAAGGGATGTCTTTAGTCATTCTCTTCCTAGCAAAGCAAACACATGTTTTACATCTCTGTGGATTACCTCAGTTTGTATGCCATGTATATATTTGCCACTCTGAATTCTCCTCAGTAAGTAACAGAAAAAAACAAAAAAAGAGATCTGTTTTCTATACTAGACTTCATTAAAAACATAGCCTGATAAATCACTTGGTTGCAACAGCAGTAATGAACACATATTTACAATATCTTATGTACGAGAGGAAAAGGATAATGAACTTGAACTCCCCTTTATTAACACTTTCATTTGGAAAGCTTCTGAGGAGGATTACTTGAACTTTTTCATGAGAATGCAGAAGATAATCTTGCAGTTCGTTTTTCTTAATTAATTGTGTTCATGTAAGATTACAGAAATTTTTGCAGATTGCTTCTGTAGAAACAATTTAGCCAATGCGTGTAGTCTGTTGCAGTCGAGATACCATTTCATTAATAAGCCTGAATTGAATTGTGTTTGTAGTAAGTAAAGAGAATTAAAGAGCTTTTGTAGAAGACAAGCAGATCAGTCTCCTAGAAAAGGAGGTATATGTGAAGGTGATAGGTTCAACTGAATCATCTTACCAACACACAGTTTTAGGTATGTGTTCCTGGCATACAGAGTTACAGGCAAAGAACCTTTTTAATAAAGCTAAACATGAAAAGAAGATGGCTTTGAACTTCAAGAAACTCTTTTCTCACCGAATTTTTCTTAAGTGCTTTTCTGTCTGCTCCTAAAATGATTCTTCATTTGATTTTTTTTTTCACAGAAACTATTTCAGTAAATACAGAATAGCATCAAAGCATTTAGAACATTTGTGCTGTAGTTGTCTGCTTTTAGTTTCACATACTAAAAATGTATTGCAAGTAGAGGAGTTGATTTCTGCACTTGGCAGCTGTTTGTGTGTCAATGTATCAAATTTTTCTTCAGATACAGCTTATATATATCGCCTGGTAAGGGATCGGTGTAGAGGTACTTTCCTACTAAATTGAACTTCCAGCAGATAAGCTGTGGTATTTTATGGCAGGTGTCTGTGTGTGTATGCATATATACTTTTTTTTTCCTAATTAATTTCCTTTAGGATTCTTTTTTCCTTACCTTCTGAATACCTTCTGAAGAGTTGAGACTCTTCCCTGTAATCATTTTTTGGAGGAAATGGGAACTGTTAATGTATGTTGAAGGGTAATAAGTTTTATGTGCACCAGTGGATTAGGTGATACAGTATAAAATAGTGGTCTCTACAATGACTTGTGATGTTGATCTTGTAAAGGATTCTGCAGAACTTAACCACAACGCGTGGTAGAAATCATGGACTCTTTTTAAAATTTTTTATTTATTTTACATGTCACAGATACAAAGGTGTGCATGTGTGTTGTTTGTATATTGTCATGTAGTTATAAATGTTTTTATTTAGGGGGTTTGAAAATGTTTTACATATTTTGTGTCCTGAGAAGATTCTCCTGTAGAGAAGATGGTGGCTTGGGTAGCATAAATGTTGGCAAGATCTGACTAGTAAGCTTAGTAATTTTACACCTTTCAGAAAACAGAAAAATTCACAACATACTGGTGTTTTCTTCTAAAAATCAGGTTACCATACTTCAGTTTTTGGAGTCTTCAGTGATTGCCTTCTGGACAATCTTCCAGGAGTGAAGACCAACGGCTGTACTGTTGAAGTCATTCCAGCTTTGCCAAGGCTGCAGATCAGTACCTCCCTTCCAAGGTGAGAAACTGAATTAAATGATGATTTTATTTGGTCATATTTAAGTGTTAGTCACATGCTGAATAAAAACTCCTTCATCTGAGTATATAATCAGTGCTTTAGTAAAGTAAGACATAAACTATATCTGTACTATTTACTTTAGAATATAAATCTAAGTTTTTTGTTTTACTGCATGAAACCTTGGAATTTCATAGAAAATATTTTGCTACTTAATTAACTGAGGGAGTGTAATGGTTATTCATTATTAATGTCATACTTTTAAAGGACTGAATCCTTTAAAGGCTAATTGTTCATAAAATCTTGAAGTAAAGAGGTAATCCATGGAGTAGTGTAGGTTGGAAAATGTGCCTCTGGAGGTCGTCTGGTCCAGGGTCTTGCTCAAAGCAGGGCCAGCTTTGACAAGTGATATGACTTAAATGTTAGATAAGGGTGCTCAGGGCATGTTCTAGTTAAGTTTTAATTATCTCCAAGGGCGGTGTTTCCATCACCTCTGTGGGAAATCAGTTCTAATGTCTGACTGCACTCACAAGAGGAAAAATAATCCCCTCTTCCTTTTTTCAAACTGAACAACCCCAGCTCTTTGAACTTGTCCTCATACGTCATGTCCTCTAGCCTAATCATTTTGATAACCCTCTTCTGGACTTGCTCCAATATATCTGTATTTCCATTGTTCAAGAGGGGCCCAGACTTGATACCATACTACAGAAACAGTATGTTTAAGAGTACAGGAAGAATCAACGAAAATAACTTCCTTTTACACTCACCAAAAAGGACACAGTAGTAGTGTGGGTTTTTTGTGGGGGTTTTGTGGTTTTTTGAGCTTTTTTTGTGAAGAGTGTGGCTGACTAATTCCATTCTTTTAGAAAGAGCTGGTAAGACACTGATTCAATTAAATTCTTGGAACTTTTCAAGTTTCAGAGCATTCAGCTACTAAGTGGCATGTCGATCACTGTATCTCAGAGACTTGCCATCCATCTACCATTTTGCAAATATTTGTAAAAGTATGCAGTTTCAGTTTTCCTTTTTTTTTTTTAACTATTAGTTTTAGCTATGGATCAGGAAACAGCCTTTTGTTACTTACTGCCTTGATAGCTCAAGTACCACAGGGATCGTTTTATTGATTGGAAGATCTCAGCTTCATTTATGATCCTTAGTAGGATGATCATCAGTATTGTATGACACAAAGAGATATATATGTGTGTGTATATATGTAATTTTTTTTTTTTTTGGTTGTGTTCTTCAGTATGGCTTACTTATTAAAGCAAGGGAACCAGTTTGGTTCTGATTTTTCCATATGGAATTCCACTTCTCTAATGTGGAATGGGCTGTGTTGATGGCATTGTGTTACAAAGATATATAAGTAATATCCTGATGAGGACAGCAAAATAAAAAAAACACTGCAATTGAGTTATGTGTTGGTCAATTCCCTATAAATATTCTGCTAGATATGGAGTCTGTATGGTTTAGCTGTAATCAACATTAATAGTAGCTAGCCAAAGCTATGAATAAATTAAAGAACATGATGGGCTTGAAAGACTTTGAAAGAATTGCAAATATTCTTAAATGGACATAATATCTGCACTTTTGGGATATATGTTCAGCTGATAATGTGGAACATTAACGAGATTTTCTTTGTATATTGGTGTTTTCTTACTTGTTCATTGGTGTTAAATTTACTCTTAGTTTCTTCAGATGCTTTAGTTTCAGTACTCAGTCTTAGTTCCTGTAACACCCTGGGAATTCAGATGCACTTCTGGCTACTTTGCAGTATGCCAGAGAGGTCCCTGCTTCCCATCACTTACTCCTCCCAGCCTCTACCATGCCAGCAAATTGCCTCACGTGACTCCTGTCAACAATGGTTTATCCTTTGGGTTCTCTGGAGGATGATGTACGTTCAAAAGACATGGTGAAGAACTGAAGTGAAGAACTTAAATAAAGAACACTCTTAATTCACAGACAGCAGGATAAGATCGGAATCCAATTTTTCTCCTTGCATCTTGCTGACTTTCTTTACAATTACATTTCCACTGACAACCATCAGCACGTTAGCTTTTATAGCTCCTTCTACTGGAGTCAAGATGACATTTCTTAATTTTTCACCAAATTTTTTTTTGAAGTACTAGAGAAAATCTTATACCATATTTAGTGCCTTCTTTGTAGGTGAAACTGTAGGACAAGGTTTGTTTGAAAAGTCATAGCGCTTTATCATTTCTTTAAAAGTTGATTGCTGTAATAGTAATTTGAGGGTGATAGTCATATTGCCAAGAATAATTCTAGGTCTTTCTGGCATACCATAGTGTCTTTTTAGAACTGTAAAAAAATTTTTATTGATCTATGTTACGGAAGGTCAATTTAATAAGCTCAATTTAGCAGAAGCTGTAATAGAATCATAGAATCATTTAGATTGGAAAAGACCTTTAAGATCGAGTCCAACCATTAACCTAACACTGCCAAGTCCACCACTAAACCATGTCCTAAGTACCATGTCTACACACCTTTTAAATACCTCCAGAGATGGTCACTCAACCACTTCCCTGGGCAGCCTGTTCCAGTGCTTGACAACCCTTTCAGTGAAGAAATGTTTCCTAATATCCAATCTAAACCTTCCCTGGTGCAACTTGAGGCTGTCTCCTCTCATCCTATCACTTGTTACCTGGAAAAAGTGACTGACCCCCACCTCGCTACAACCTCCTTTCAGGTAGTTGCAGAGAGCGATAAGGCCTCCCCTCAGCCTCCTTTTCTCTAGACTAAACAACCCCAGTTCCCTCAGGTGCTCCTCAGAAGACTTGTTCTCTAGACCCTTCACCAGCTTTGTTGCCCTTTGGACATGCTCCAGCAACCTCCATGTCTTTCTTGTAGTGAGGGGCCCAAAACTGAACACAGTATTTGAGGTGTAGCCTCACCAGTGCCAAATACAGGGCAATCACTTCCCTGCTCCTGCTGGCCACACTATTTCTGATACAGGCCAGGATGCCGTTGGCCTTCTCGGCCACCTGGGCACCCTGCTGGCTCATATTCAGCCGGCTGTCAACCAGCCCCCCCAGGTCCTTTTTTCCACCGGGCAGCTTTCCAGCCACTCTTCCCCAAGCCTGTAGTGTTGCATGGGGTTGTTGTGACCCAAGTGCAGGACCTGTCACTTAGCCTTGTTGAATCTCATACAATTGGCCTCTGCCCATTGATCCAGACTGTCCAGATCCCTCTGTAGAGCCTTCCTACCCTCAAGCAGATCAACACTCCCGCCCAACTTGGTGTCGACTGCAAACTTACTGAGGGTGCACTCATGAAGCTTGTTAGTATATATTTTCATCATTATATGTATTTATGTATATATTTGTGCATAAATGTATATGTATCATGTATATAAAAATATTACACTACTGAGTAAAACAATCCTAATAGAAAAGCCTATAAAGTAAGAAAATTGAGGGAAGAAAATGACAAATTTGTAAATAAAATTGGGGAAGACTTCATATGGAAAAATATCAGTCTTTTCCATGAGAACCAGAAATTTTTGAAGCTGCATGCCAGTGCACCAGGCATTATAGGTGGCTTTCTTGATGAGTACTTTCTAATATGCTAAAATAATTGTGCAATACTGTAATGCTCAAAATCATGTTTATGGGTAAAGAGGGAACATGCTTTAAGTATAAAGCCAAGAATTTACTGTCTGTATCTTAATGATTCCTGTATTAGACTATTATTAGTCCAGATGCAATTATTACAGAGGAAAGAAAAAGAGAAAAATACTCTATACAGAAGAAGAATCACTATTAATAATACACTTAAAATTGCTATACACACACTGTCTATTTTCCACCTGTTTTCCTGGTGGTGTGCTTCCCCTCCCACTGCTCCTCTGGGTCCTAAGGTTGGCCTTTTCAGTCTGGTGGTACAGCGAGTTGTCAGCATATAGAGACCTTCACTGAGAGGAATATGATGTTGATGGTGTTTTTTTTTTTTTTCCCACGCTAGAAAACACTTGAAGCCATTTTTGTCTGCTAACACATTTTTATGCCTTGTTCTTTCTTCTCTCAAGCTCCACGTTGCATCCAAATTTAATATGTGGTGCCTTTTTGTATATTAGATTCTTTTTTCTTTGTTACCCCTGAAAGTTCTTCTTGCCCAGCTTCGTGTCTGCATTTCTTTGACTGTTAGTGAATTGTTTGTAGCTGTGAGGCCTCCAGTGCTAAGCATATGCCTCATCTGTTACCATCCCACGCTAGTACTACTCTTTGCTGCATCCTGTGTCTCCGCTTTGTGATGCCTCTGCTATCATACCAGACCTGTGTTTCTGTACACAGTGTCACTGTGTTAGTCATAAATATCTCATTCTACCAAGAACAACCACTTTCCATTACTATCTATATAAATGCTGCTGCAGTAAGTCAAACCAGATTTACAGGCAGGTCAGAACAAGTTCAGAGCAGGCACAGAATCATAGAATGGTTTGGGTTGGAAGGGACCTTTAAGGGTCATCTATTCCAAACCCCGTGCCATGGGCAGGAACATCTTTCACTAGATCATGTTGCTAAAAGCCCCATCCAACCTGACCTCCAATGATGGGGCATCCACAGCTGCTCTTGGCAACTGGTTCCGGTGTCTCACAACCCTCATCGTAAAAAATTTCTTCCTGTGTCCAACCTAAACCTATACTCTTTCAGTTTAAAGCTGTTGCCCCTTGTCCTGTCACTACAGTCTCTCCATCTTTCTTATAAGCCCCCTTTAGGTACTGAAAGGCCACAATAAGGTCTCCCTGGAGCCTTCTCTTTTCTAGGCTGAAGAACCTCAGCTCTCTCAGCCTCTCTCCATAGCAGAGGTGTTCAGCCCTCTGTGCACTTTCATGGCCTTCTCTGTATCTGCTCTAACAGATCCATGTTTTTCTTGTGCTGGGGACCCCCAGAACTGGATGTAGTATTCCAGGTGGGGTCTCATGAGAGCAGAGTAGAGGGGGAGAATCACCTCCCTTGACCTGCTGGCCACGATTTTTTTGATGCAGACCAGGATACAATTGGGTTTCATGGCTGAATGCACACATTGCCAGCTCGTACCTAATTTTCCTTCTACCAATATCCCCATGGCAAACCTCAGTGCTGAGGTCTTGTAAGTTCAGAACAAAGCTGTTGGCTATACAGTACTTAAGAATTGAGATGGTTTTTAATTTAAGAAGCTGCATTACAGGGAAGGATGTGTAAGCTGATTAGCTTGGGCTTGGGTTTCAGATGTACATTGATACCGTCATTGAAAGTACCATTTGTTTGAGTTGTTAGTATGCAATTCCTTGATACTTTTATCTAAGTATGGAGGGAGACAAGAAATTCCTTCTTTCCTGTCACTCCAAATGCCCAAACTTCAGAGTGCTGCAGTGATAATGATACATGACAGTAAATTTTAAATTATTAAAAAATATGTGTTTTAAGTACTTGTTGTAAGAGGTGCATTCTGAAAGACTAAAATCTGCTCTTGTTTGTGCAGGCTGCTTATCTTGTGCTAAGGAAGAATAGGATAGAAGGGAAGGATAGCAGAAATACCTGCCAAAAGAAGTTACTGAACCTGGGTTTACCAATGGATTTATCGGTCATTAATCTCAGTAGCTTTTGCCCTTGTATCCTTGATCCCTTCTGACCACTTTGCATTAGCATGAAAAATACAGTCAGAAGTTGAACCTCTGCCCATCTGTCTTGTTCTGCAATTCTCATTTCTCATTCATGTTCTAAAGGGTTCATTTATATTCACTATTTCACCTTTCACACAGTGAATTTCCTACAGGATCCACTCCTATGAGTTTTATGCCCTCTGCTGTCCACTAGAACTGCATTCTCCCAAGACATATATATATATGTAAAATACTGCTCAATTCTGCTTTATCAATGATGTGTTGTCGTAGCACTGTGCATATCTGCTATTTCAGTAATTGACTAGTTTGACACATTTGTTACTTTAAAATGAAATGCTTGATACTAATTTAAATAAATTCTCATGTTTCTGATGCTTTAGATACCCCATGCATTTTCTCTAGCATGTATAATGTAGAATAATTTTTGTTTCATCTCTAAGTTATTTTTACAATATATTGCTCTACTAAGTATGTCTTACCTCCTATTTCAGATACTGTTTATGATCCCTTAAGAAAACAGTTTCTGGGTGAACAGCTGCATAAAACAGTTAGTGCTGCTTATCTGTCATTAAAGGTGTTTCTGTCTTCATTCCACATATATCATATTAGGAATGCCTAGCAATGTAAGATAATGTATCCTCTCTTGTGAGTACAAAGGTTTCATCTCTTCTGAGGTTTCTTCCACCAGTTGACTTTATTCTCACTTTTGTAATTTTTACAGGCTGAGCAGGGTGCAGTATGGACTTCAGGATCTTGCAGAGGACTCTCACCCTGGTTTCTCCTATGTAGCACTCAACTTCTTATTCGCCTCAATTTTATTTTTCTTTTTACATTCAGCTCTTGATACTCATTGTTACTCAACCCTAGTGTTCAAACATGTGATAGATCAGATATCACTTTTTTCAAGTTTGCTCATTCTAATGACCTGCTCTTGCTTTTTTTCTCTTTTCCCTTTCTTACGTTTTTTTCAGAAATTTTTAATAAGCTTTCACAGTTAGGAATACATATTTTATATTGTTTGAAATCGGACTTGTCTTATGCATAAAATATTAACGTTTGTCCTCAATGGTTATAAAAAATGATGCTGGCTAAAATGAGAATTGAAAATGATATCAACTATCCTCAAGACTGCAGAACAGTAGTTTCTGAGTCTTAAGAATAGAACAGTTAATAGAAGAATAAAGAATAGTTAATAGAATACATTGGACAGGCTTGTCCAATGTAACTTGGACAGGCTTTTAACATTTTCGTCATAATATTTTGTTTGTCTGTGTGTCACATTTTGTAGGTCTGCTCATACACTTCAGCCTTCTTCAGGGGATGAAATCTCCACTAATGTGTCTGTCCAGCTTTACAATGGAGAGACCCAGCAGCTTATCATTAAGTTAGAAAACATTGGAACAGAACCGCTGGAGAAACTAGAGGTCACAGCGAAAACAGTCAACACCAAGGGTGTGTATGCTGATTTATATTTAGAAATAATAACAATCACTTCTTCTCTGATAAAAGGGGACTAGTTGTGTTATACTTCTTTTAGGTCAGTTTAGAATAAGTAACATAATCCCTGTTACAGAACTGGAATCATTGTTTGGTTTTATTGTAGGAATAGAGACATGAAAGAGAATGTGAGAAAATGTAGGAAAAAAATGAACAAATTGTAGAACCATCCGTGTGTCAAAGGGTCACCTGCTTTTTGGAAATCTAGATTTCATTTTAATGTTACTTGGAAAAAAAAATCCTGAGGCAATTACTAGTAAAAAGCAAGAATCTTGGGTCTAAATTATTTTCTCCTTATGTCTAAATACACTGATTAGTTAATTAAATAAATTGCCATTAGCAGTAATGCAGTCCTACTTGAGGGAATGGAAATAAATAAGCCTACTTCTATCTCACTTAGTGAGCAATAAGAAAAAAAAATGGATAAAAGACTTTAAAAAACAAGGCAATAAATAAAATAAGCTATTATGAGTTAAAGAAGAATTGAAGGCATGGAAGAAATACAGTACACCTCCTGCTTCCACTTATTTCTCTTAAAATAGTCTGTACATATTAGTATTAAGAATTAGTCTGACAGGTGAATCTTGTCTTTGTTTTGTGATGTGTTTATTGTTTTTGGTTTGTCCTCTGAGGCATCATTATGAAAAAGTTATTAACAGAAGAACTGCAGATGACAAGCGAGATGAACGGCATTATTGGAGGAAACACATACGTAAATAACTATGACTTTTGACATGGCTGTGTGCTGTGGGTACAATGTAAAGTGCTGAAAAATGCTATCCATGGCAAAAGAACTCATGGTCCACATCAAGCATGTAATAATTATGTTATTTCAAATGTGATTACATGTAGGTCTTGCAAAGGATGGACCTTTGCCTTTTTTAATAGACTCTCTTCCATTTTAGTTATTATCGTAAATTGATACAAATGCATAAGGATTGAGTCACGGTACAGTGCAACACATGACATGGGATTCTGGTGATAAACAGGGAACTAAAGATTTGCAATGTCAGCAGCTCGGTTTGGTCAGTGAATACTACTTGCATGGAAATAATGTGGATATGACATTAAATCATCTCTAATAGCAACACAGACTCTTAACTTGATATTATATATCAAGTTTAGAGCATATGCAGAAGCTCGTGAACTATTTGTAGTGCATTAAGAAGTTGTCTCCTGGATATTCTTTACTACTCCTCAGCTGGAATGTGCCTGTGATTTAAACTGCTCAAGGTCGCCTTGAAAGCTGTTAGGCATCTTCATCTGCCATGACCACAGCTTGCCTGTCATGGGAGCCCATGAGAAGTTGTTGTCCATTTCAGCCAAATACAAAGAGCTTTCAATCATTCTTCATTTCACCTGATTTGCTTTGGTTCTTTTAGTCTTGGCAGTTGCTCGTAAATCTTTTGCAGCTGCTGCATGCCTGCCTGTCTGACTTCCAACTCCTTACCTTCTGTTTCTGGGACCACAACTTTTAGCACAAAGATGAATGCTGTGAATAGCAAATATTCTCTTTTTTTTGTTGTTGAAATTACTGGATGGGATTAGCTGTTGCGGTGCAGTGACCTGACTTCCCTCCTTCGTCATGTTATCTATAGCCAGTTGCTTTTCTTGAGGAAGCCCACTTCTCTGGCATTGTTTTCAATGGTGTCTTGTTAATGAGAACCTCTGAAGATCAGTCTTGCAAACTTGCCTTCCCTTACTTGCTCTCTTCTATTTCTTTCAGGTGCAGCTCTTTAGCTTTTCCACTCTGGCCCTCAGATAAATGAGCAGAAATTGCAGCTCACCCTGTGCAGTTCATAAAGGACATCACAGGGTTTTCGAGTCCTTTAGTTAGCAGGCGTGCATTATGGAACAGATCCTGAGGCAAATCAGCAAAAGGGACTTGTCATGCTGCCACAATAAACATGTCTGTCATGTCTTTTAATGTCTGATTGTACCACTCTGTGTACCAGGCTGTGGTGTCTGTAGGTTGGACATCATATGTATACTGTCAAGGTTAACTCTGTGTCACCTCATATCATCCCTCACCAGGTCAGATGGTCTAATACTTTTTTTAGAATGATGACGTGCAAAGGGGGATGCATTTCCATCCTATCTCTCCAGTCAGCTCTTGTCAGAGACATCTTATGTCTCGGTTAGGGGGTGCACTCTAAAAGCTTTGATAACCCAGCTATTTGATCCACTCAGGGGCAAATGTAACACTAATGTTTTCAAACTTGAAGCACTGGGAAGAGTGTGCCAGGCTTTCTTACCAGCCTCACATATTATTAGGCTCTAGTAGTGAGCACCAGCTGCACACACTGAATGAACTTGGATAATGAAGCAAAACCTTAACTGATCTTTCTGAGAAGTGGTTGACCTCTAGAGTTTAAACATAGAGAAATAAATTCACCTGTCTAGCTGTATTCTTCCCGTGGTCTTTGAACACATCTGCTTACTGTCTCAGCTGTTTAGCTGTGCCAGACCACAGATGAAAAATCTGCTCTGAGGTCCAGGTAACCATTTTAAGAACTGTGAATATCCTGGAATAGACCTATTTACCTTTTTTTGCCAAACAAAACTGTAAAGTCTTTCAAATTGGACTCAGGTTATGTTCCATAGAGAGTTATGAATACAGGCATGCTTTTCTCCAGTTAGTCCAAATGTCCTTGTGAAGGTAGGACAACAAGGAATGTTGGTAATCCAGCCCCAGCCTAGCTGCCATGGTTTTACTATCCGGGTTTCTCAGCTCAGGTCTCTTCCTCTATGCTCACATTGGCTGACCAAGATCATGATTTTGTACGACTCTTACCAACTCTTTTTTCCGCTCATAGTATAAATGTCAAATGGTTCATGATTTTAGAGCATTTTTTTCCCCTCCTTTTAGGGATAGTTGCTAATTGCCTAGAGGGAGCTCTGCTACATAAATTTACATTGTAAAGACCATACCAAGTCCTGCAAGTTCATTTCTATCTACTAGGTCTGAATTAAAAGTATTCTGGATTGTCTCCTCAATTTGAAAGAGGCTGTTTGTCCCCAGTCTCAAAGGAAAAGTAATAATAATACCGGTACACTGTCTATGAGCTGATGAACTATTAGTGCTTTTGACCCTGTAATTCTAGTGTGCACACCCCACAGTTCCTCCTTTTAAAAAAAGGTGGTGGTTACTCTGCAGTGCTAAATACACAACTTTCATTTTTACTAGAGTTTTGTGCACTTGGAGAAATTAAGATCAATGAATGCCAATGCCTATGCATTTAGAACTGATAGCAATTTTGAGGTCCTATGTATTCTGCTAGGAATATATACTTCAGCTGGTGAGGCATCAAGAATCAAATGTGCAGATTACCATAGAAATCTGAAGAGCCTTGTTACCTTGAAGCCCATCAGATTTCTGTCTTCAGGTATCTGATTATACTTGCATTTAGTGTACCTTTGTGCATGTTGAATTCAGAGATGTGGAGTACTTGGGTCTCATCCTTATGTGCTAGTTGGAAACTGCTCTTGCATTTATATTTCCTTTCAACTGCTCAGCTTGAGAAGCAGCCGTTGTTTTGGTTATATTCTACCCAGACTTCACATTTCAGCTATAGTCTGTTACCTTTTTCTTTCTACTTTGTTTCTCTTTGTCCTTGTCTTTAAACTCTTTCTACCAGTTTTCCAAGAATTTTAATTAAATTCTAGTGTTGCTAGCATCTCACTGGACCTCCAGGCTGAACTGCATCTTTTTATCCCCCGTTTTGTTTTTTTGTTTGTTTGTTTGTTTGTTTGTTTTTTGTTGGTTTTTTTTTTTGCATATCTGTGTTTGTCAGGAATCCACAACTGTGCTCAGGACACTATTCCACGTATATATAGCTTCTCTGATGCTTTAAGTTCAGTTTGCAGTTTCGAGGCTATCTGCAGATCATAATGCTATGGTTAACAGAGGATTCAGTCCCATCCTGTCCTATTCTCCCACAGAAAGACAAAGACATAAGAATTTAGCTCAGTAGTCACAGGACATTAGGGGATGCTGCTTAGGGACAGCATGCACGTCTCACCACTGTTGTGGTCTTTTTGTTGTGTTTGCCCAGCATCCGTAGTTGCTGTACGTACATACTCCTTTTTAAGTAGCCCTTTGTGGACTTCCCCATGAATTCGCATATCCCGTTCTGAAGCTGCTGGTACTGCTTGCCTCTGCAGCCTCCTGTAGCAACAGATTCCAGAATTTCACTACCAGATGGGTAGAGAAGTGCTATATCTGTTTTAATCTGATAGTTTTATCAAGTGTTCCTAGTTCTTATGCCAGGGAATTTAGTGAGCAACAGTTCTGCATTTGCTTTATCTGCCATCTTTGTAATTTTTGTAATCTGCAGTCATCTTCCCCTGCTCAGCCATTCAAACTGAAGGGTCTCAGCTCACATGGCAGCTGCTCCACCCCTTCATCATTTCAGTTACCCTTCTCTGGACTGTCTGTAGCTTTAGTATGTCGTCCTTGCAGTACGGAGATCAAATCTGCAAACAACATTTAGGATGTAAGCACACCAAGGTTTTATATAGTGGCAAAATGCCCCCTCTTTGACTTGCTTTCAATATCCTTCCTAATGATGACCTGTTTTCTTGTTTTGGTTTGGGTTTTTTTTTTTTTTTCCCCCTTTTTTTCCTGTTGCTGCTCACTAAGCTGATGATTCCATGGTGATTTCATGAGTCAATGGTGACTCTACGGTTTCTTTGTTGAGTTGTAATTGCCACTTCCAAGTTCAACATACCAGCCAAAGCTTGTTTTTTTTTTTTCCTCCTAGTTGCATTATTTTACCTTTATGTATTTTGAAGTCAATTTTTTTGCCTACTCACTTAATTTCATGAGGTCCTTTTGGGTTTCTTGCCTTTGACATTACTACTTCCTGAAATTGAAATCTAGTCAAGATAAACTCTCTGGAAATGAATCTGATCAAGTGGTGGATGTAATTTGCAGAACAATTTAATGCTGATAGCTTTAAACATTTTTATTGAAAGAAATGTCTTTGTCTACACTGTTGTTCTATAAAGCATTTTATGAAGAGAAAAAAAGAAATTAAAAACTTGGTAGCCCATAAATCTACATGTTTGCAATCTATGCAATTGCGATATTAATGTTCAAATATAGCAAATAATAAATACACAGTGCTAATCTAACTTGAATTTGTTCCTATTTAAGTAATTCTTAAATTTATCATTTTATGGTTTTGTTTGTTCACTGGTTATCTTAAGAGCAAATAATTTTGAGAAAAATGGTAGTAGTCCTAATAGGTGTTGTGCTATACAATAGCATGAATTTATGATGGTGGGAAGGTACAAACAGATTATGGTTTCTAATAATTGTTTTAAGAGCCATGTGAAGTTAAATACCCAAACAGAGAGTTAAATTATTTCAGTAAAGAATGTTATAGATGTGCTTACATTAAAATAAGCCATAGAAAAAAGCAAGATTTACCTGGGAACTTAAGATTGAAAAGAATTGAGGACTTCAGGTTCTTGTGATCTCAAAAGACTTGCTTTTCCATCGAGTTTCCTGCAAAATGCCAGTGTAGATTTTTTTTTTTTTTTTTTTTTTTCAGACCTTAAAATCTATTACAGGTTAGGGCAACCCAAAGATAGATTGTGGGTAAGCTGTTATATGATACTTGTTAGATTTTAATGACTTAGCATCCAGTAAAAGGATAAAACAAGTTACTAAATTAAATTCTTGATTAACAGTCGCTTGTAACTTCAGTTGTTTGCTAAACACAAATTTTGGGCTCTGGAAACAACTGAATGCAGGCATGCCCCAAATAAGGCTCTTTCACACTGAACTGAAAAGTTTGAAGACCCATGCCATAGTATAAGTCACTGTAATAATGATGACTGAACAAGGTGAAGAAAACATTATTAAACTATAAACCAATGTCAGATAAATATAAACTAGATTTTTCTCTACAGCTTAACTTCTAGCTCAAGCATTTAGACCTTGTCTTGTAATTACAGGTGTCAGAGAGTATCTACAAGGGTTACTCTCACTTGGAAAGTCTTTTCACTCATAATTTCTTAAAATAAATCTCATATTTAGTGAAAATACATTTTGGAAACAATTTGTTCAATAAACTGAAGATACACTCAAGTGCTTGGGATATGTCATACTTTCTTTACATTGAGGAAAAACATCCCTGTAGCATATTATGTTTTTACTTATCGGGAAAAGGGTATAGAGATTGCTGTACTTGTTAAGCTACTTCTTTTCTTGAAAATAGAAGAAAATCAGAACAGTGATATGGTTACAGCTAAATCATTGGATGAGGTGGAGGTGACTTTAAGGAAACAATTATTAGGAGGATTTTTTATTTCTACCTCATCTTTATTCTTATAAAGAAGTCCATAATATTGATTTGATGCGAAAAGACTCAAGATAACAATTGATGGTCTGTGAGAAAAATATATCTGAGGCAAAGCAGTTATTGTTTAGGTAGAAGTTAATGAAAAAATATTAACTTTTTTTTTTCTTCCCTAGATGCATTTTTTTCTGTGCAAATCACCAAAGTTTGGACTGGAATTCTAACTACTTTTTTTGAAAGATCCTTAATTCTAGATTGTAGTTGTTGAGGCAGTCTTCCCACCCCATTTTCTCACATATTGATCTTAGATGATGGTTTTGGAAAGGCTCTGAAATGCCAATACACTAACTTGCTCTTAAATACAGTAGCCTGGTACAAAGTAGAGATGAACTGTGTGACTTTCAGTGGTCCCTGTGTTATGCAAAGCAGTGCTGAGATGGTATTTAAATGATCTTTTAGAAGGATTCTTCAGTGTACTTTGGAGATAGTATGCATTGTGACATTAAATTAATATATTTTTAGGATTCTCCCAGTCAAACCATCATGTTTATTTTATGTATTAATAGACTTTTCTGCAGTGTTTAGCATTGTATGGTCTTGCAAATATTAATGAATTTATGAATGTGGGGGTTTGACTCTGGCCAGAACCAAAGCCCCCAGCCAGTTGGTCGCTCACTGCCCCCATCTTCTCCCCCAGCAGGGTGGGGAAGAGAATCAGAAGGGCAAAAGTGCAAAAACTTCTAAGTAGAGATAAAGGCTATTTAATAATCAAAGGAAGGAGGAAGTTAAAAACAAACCAAAATTACATTTTATGGCATGGAATATCCTTTTGGTCAGTCTGGCTCAGCTGTCCTGGTTGTATTGCCTTCTAGCTTCTTGCCCGCTGCTGGCCTACTTGCTGGCAGGGCGAACTGGGAAAAGAGAAACCCTTGATGCTCTGCAAGTACTGCACAGCAATAGCCAAAAAGCTGGTGTGTTGCCAACACTGTTTTAGTCACAAGTCCAAACCACAGCACTGTATAGGTGTCTATAAAGAAAATTAACTCCATCCTGTAAAATGGATTAGAAGTGTAACACTGGGAGATCAATTCCACCGCCCGGATCATTCATGAAGTGTGTAAAAGAAATCAGACATTAGCAGATATTTCTTGTGTTTATTTAGTAACTGAAATAAGATTAATTCAGGAAGTAGTCACTGTTATTGTACCATTCTAGTATGTAACAATCTTTTCTGTCATTCTAAAAAAAAAATTTGCTCTTGCATAAAGTTCATAGAATATCACTTTTTAGATGGCTTCTGCTGAAGGTACTTAAATGTCCATGACTTTTGGTTTTGGCATACTTCAGAGCTTGAAATAACAGATAACTAACTCACTGTTCTTCCTGAAGTGGACTTAACCCTCTGCTCTTCTTCGTTTCAAGATGGTTCTTTCGATGTTACTGGAGTAATAAGGAGACTGAATAACTGGATAAAGTGTCTCAATGTATTGATGAACAGTAAATATTGTTTTTTTTTCTCATATGCCTTCTGGCACTTTAGGCTTAGGGCAGAGGAGCTAATAATAACAGATGCCGTATCTCATATGGACCAATGATAAATAATTTTTCAAATACCTTTTAACATGAACTAATCCTGTCTGACAGCATCCTTAATATTTGGGTCTTGTGTACTTTATGCTTCTCAGTTTTCAGAAAGGACTTTTGTTTTATAAAAAAATGAAAGCTAGTAGTCTTCCTAGCCTTCTCCGTTGTGTTTCAGAATTGCTCCTGATTTATTTTGGTGTAATATTTTGATGAAATGTTTTGTGCATTCATATGCCATTTCCCAAGTTGGAGTCTGTATGATTCCAAACTATATGAACTTCTAGGTCCCCTTCAAGCTGTGTTCTCAAGTATTCAAATGTATATTTAATGCTGTCTGTTGTGCCGTATTTTTCTTCTGGTAGTGTTCTTAACTTAGTATCATATTTTGAGCTTTGTGATCTACATGCTTCCAGGCCAATGTCAGTAACCTCTCTAATGTCTTTCTAGCATTACATTAATTTTTAATGCTTAATTCTGAATATTTTAGAATATTAACAGAAAATGACAGATCAGTTAATACTCTGTGCAACAGTTATAAACTTAAACTTCCTTAACACAGTGGTTATGCTTATGAATTTTTTCCTTATTTTAATATAGAGAAGCTGTATGGGGACTTCTTGAGTTGGAAGCTAGAAGATACCCTCTCCCAGTTTCCTTTAAAACCTGGAAAGATTGCAACATTTACTGTAAACATTAAAGTGAAGCTGGACTTCTCATGCCAAGAAAATCTTCTGCAAGATCTCAGTGATGGTGAGTTTTTAATTTCTCCTTGTTTAGGAGGGTTGTATGTGCTTCTGAGAAACACCCAGTTGTTACGCCATTTGTTTTAAAATACGGTGTGTGATGTGGCTGTGTATTTTCGTATTTGTGTCTTTTAATGTAAAGACAATTGTTCAGTGAGCTGTATGGATTGGAGACTGAATTTTTGTGATGACTGTGGGCATGATAGTCTGACCAAACTTCCCTGTCATGAGATCTTGTCTTGCTATCTTTTTAAATCCTTCCTGACACAGAGTTTTTTTGATGTGTGTCTTTGTATCCTTATCTTATGAAGATAAAGAAAAATAGTTTGCAAACATCAGTGAGTTTAAAGAGAAATAACGTTAAGTTGATCATTTAGTTACGCAGATTGTAGGATTCTTAATCGTGGCTGACTGTGGTTTTGCCAGAAGTGACACACTGCAATGTTAGGGCATAATCTCCCTAATATTTGTACTGTAGAGAAAGTTTCATGTGCTTAAACTCATGGTTTCTTTTGAATAAAAAACCCACAATGTTTGCTTGTATTAGAATTATCTGGAATTACAAGTACCAGATACTTGTAATAAGGATTTCCTTTTTATAATAAACACACAGTCTCACTGGAGTAATTGCTATACTCTGTATTTTTTCAATTGCCTGTTATATTTACACTGATTGAATTAACTTGACAAAACAAGATATTCCCGTATTAAAAAAAAAAAAAAAAATCATTATTATTTGGACTGTTTCCCATGATCCAGTTGCAGGTATGCTTTATCAGTATAATTAATCTTTAAAAAAATAATATTTTCAGTATAGAAAAAATGCAACAGGATTGTATGTACAGCTTATTCAAGTTGAATAGAACTGAGTTCTGTGAGTTATCTTGCAAATGCATTTAGACGGAAATTGTAGTAATTGTTAGTAAAGATTAAAAGGCTTCTTTGTTTTTTAAACCTCCCTGGTGCAAAATACGTATATTATAAAAGTATTTTAGGATTTAACTGCATAAAACCCATAGTGTTGCTACACTAATATTTACTTTAGAACTTTTTGAAAAAGCTGATAGTGGAGGAAGACCACACCCTGATATTACCGTGAAAACACAGCTGCCAAGGAATTGAGGCTTTGAGAAATGCCCTTGATAGGAACTGTAATTCTGTACAGCACAAATTTGTGCTACAAATTCATGGAACGGGGGGGTGGGGGAGCAGATCCGATGCTACCTGTAGAATTATTTTACTGTTTCAGGAGCAGATGATACTGCATTACTTACAGATCCCTGAACTCTTGGTCCTTGTGTACCCTGTAGATGACCTGTCTTTTCCATGGAAATTCCAATGGCTTATTGCTTGCTTATTTTATAAAAGCTTTTATTAGATCATAATTCAATTATTCAATCTATTGTATTATATGGAAAGACTATAGGCCAGTTGATTCAAAATTTAAATTGAACTTTGGAAACTTAGCTTTTATTTGTTGACAGGTTAGCATTAATAGGAAAGAAATCAGTGGCATGGAAATGAGAAGGAACTTGATCAATGTAATCAATATAAATTGAAAAATAATTATGAAAGTCAGTATTTTAAAAGCTTGAAGCCTGAGCCTGATGGACTCAGAGTCTACCAGACAAGACTCTTAACAAGCAGCAGCAATGAACTATGTAAACATTGTCTTGTGAGACAGATATGTAAGCACACAGTAATCTTTTAATGGAATTTATCTTTGCGAATGGAATGCAAGGTCACTATGAGATAAAGAGGCAAAGGATGCCTCAAGACTGCACAGTTGTCCCTGAAACCCATCCAAGGATTATGATGCGCATGTGGAGATGGGTGGTTACTTATGTTAATGAGTTCCCAGAAAAGTCATGAATATGCTAATTATTTTACGAATATGTATGCATAAATTGCATATAAATTGTGTAACTGACTTGATGCCGCACGCATATTAGGAGGAGCGATCCCCCGTGCACCCAGCTCTGCAATAAATAATACCTACTGTCATCCTGACTATTGAGTCCTGATTTCAGCTTTTCACGGCATCAAGCTAGACGTTACTGTCTTTAGTGCCGGTTCTGTTGATTTTGTTTTTGTAACTTCCAAATTTGCCCTGTCTCAAAGAAGCTTCAAAGGGATTCTGAAGCTGTAGTTGCCCAGCAGTTTTTCAGATAAAATAAGATACAAACAAAATACTCTATAGAAGAAGATAACAAACTTAATTCTCGGTATTGATATTGAACAATTGTGCAATAGTGGATTTTGGCTTATTTTTTTTTACCTGTATCTAACTTTTATGTGACCACATGTGAACAAAATCTTGGAATGACCTTGTTATTTCTGCCTACAGCTTCTTTGAAAGGTTGTGTAACTGAAGCCTGGAAGCAATTCAACCTTTTCTTGTTCAGTGATGATAAAGGAGTAGGATCCATTAGTGTTTCTTTAGAACTTCAGTATCTTTGGGTGCTATGTACTGTGTGTATCTTGAAAGTATTATTAGAGATGCTAAGTACATTGACATTTTTAATTGCTACTGTAATTTTTCTATATTGCTTTTAACTTTACAAATATTGTACTTTCTAAAGAAGCAGGTAAGATCCTGATGTGAAGAACAGTAAAGAGCTAGAAAAATCAATGGCAACTATGGCATGACTTTTAATCATATGGTAGCCATGGTACCTTTTTCTTTTGAAGACCAGATTTACAATGATGATCAAAATACTTTTGCCTTTTAAAAGTAATGCCCTTAGCGGGGCATCTGTTACTTTGATCTGTTTTCATTTGCTGCTGAAATTGTTTCCTTTTACTCTGTTTGTAATCAGGACATAGTACAGAAAGGATAAATTACTGATGTTTCTGATGATACACTTATCCAATTGGAAAGTAAACTAAGTTATCAATCAAAATTGCTGATCTAATTCTTGTGTGTTGATGGTATACTGTCTTGTAAAGAAAAATGTTAGATGTTCTTCTAGATTAAAGGAAGCAAAAACACATGAGTGGCTGTACAGGATCAGCTCAATGACCGTCTAGTCCAATATCCTGGCTGTGATAGTGGCTAAGAGCAGATGCCCGAGGCAGAATATAGGGAGAATCATGAACATACATGCTACTTTCCTTTAGGCTTTTGGGCTCCCAACTGTTGTTAGCTTAGGAACTTCCAGAGCCTGATATGGTTTCTCTGGTTTTAGGCATTGTTAGTCATCCTCAGTGGGTTTCTCATTCATAAAATTCTTCACTCTCTTCATCAGGACTGTACAACATCCTGTGTCAAGAAGAATTGCAGCTAAATTACTTATAGCAGCTTTGCACCTACTGGTGTCCTTCTGATATTACTTGGTTCTTGTATTGCAAGAAACAGGTAACAGTACATCTTCTAAACATCGTACATACAGTCATGATTTTATACATTTCCTCTTGTTACTGTCACAGTGGTCTCTTTCACAGACAGAATATATTTAATGGGCTTAGTTGTCCCTCTTATGGAGACAGTTCTGAACATTGATCAGCCTTGTCCCTTTTGACTGCTTTCAGCTCTATATGTTTGAGGTAGGCTGTACATGCTATTTGAAAGGTGATCTATGTATTTCTGTAGTGATCTAACAATTGTATTTTGGTTTATATTACTTTCCTTCTAATGACACAATAATGCAAATCTGTCATTTGCTTTTTTGACTGTTGCTGAAAATTGGGTTTGTAGATTCATGAATCTGTGAACCATAGCTCCAGGATCTTGCTCCTGAACAGTAATGGTATGCTGAGAGCCTCTTATTTCACATAGAAGTTTAGGGTTGTTTTTTCCCATTTTTTTATGCTGAATTTCATTTGACATTTCATTGCCCAGTCATTAATTTTTGTGAGGTCCTAGCTGTGATGTCAGGAACATGCCATTCTGTCTGTATTGTATAGGCTTCCATGCTGGGAATTGGGTTTATGCAAAAACAGCCTAATAACATTGCAGAAGAATGCACATCCCATCAAAGCATGTCTAAGGTTCTTGTCACAATCTAGATTTCCTTGGTTTATTATCTTTGGAATTAATTACTTTGCAAACACTTTGAACAGCTGGACAGGTATTCTAGAGACACTTCATTAATTAGGATTAAGATGACCAGGCTTATGTCTTGAAGGCAGTTGACCAAGATTCAGGGATTCCCTGTCGGAGATCTGTTTGCTGGAAATGCTAATGAAGTTTTGGGTCTCCTATCCCTCAGCTGGGTGGTTCAGGGTTCCTTCTCTGTATGTTCCTGGTTCTCTGGTCAGGAAAGTCACTGTGTGTATTTAAGTTGATTCTAAGGTTGTTACACTCAGTAAGACAGGAGGAAGCACACTGTCTGCTTGGTACAGCCAGGCTTAAGGAGCTTAAGCAGTAAGGTCTCTGTCACCTGTTAAGGTGATGTAAAGCAGTGAATGGGATGCACACATTATGAGCATGATGAATTCTCCTTCCCAGTCATTATACTTTAATTTCTGAAATCCAGTATTTGCCTGATGCTAAATGGGAAAAGAATAGCTGCTCTTTCTGGATTGCATTATTCATGGTAATTTGTTAGTGGGAAGCAGTCTTTTAAAAAAGGTTCTGTTACATGGGGATAATGTTTTGCAAGGTTAATGAAATAATCTACAATGAGTACTTCATTATGTTCATTCATTCTGTGTATAGAGAACCTAAAGACAGGTGCAAGAATATTTAAATTCATAAACTCATCAAAGGAACTAATTAATTATGTGCGAAGAGAGAAGCAAACCTATGCCTTAAGTCTTTCCTTCCCTTCTCTGGGGGAGAAAAGGTTGCAAAGAAATAATAACATATTTCTAAAAGCAGTCATCTTGAATATTTTTTAATATTGGTATGAAAGACTATTGCATGTTTCATACTCGCTTGGTTGCTTTTCTGCTTAAATGGCTAGATTTTATCTACCTAAAAATGTTCTTACACTTACATAGCATATAGACAATATATTTCTTTGTTAGAAAGATACCTGATTTTGAATTTAAATGTAGTCTTGA